CAGTGGGAGTATTTATACTTACCTTCGATCGCGGCCGTACTTTTCTGAGCCCTGAAATGTCGCAAATATTATTTTCAACTCAACTTTAGCATTTTTGAAAAGCACCTGGATGATTGACAGGTTTTGTGAAGCATGTTGGTCTCTGTGAGGAAGTTGCATATTTTGAAATATATTTCAGCTATTTAAAAACATATTGGGTTCATTGCACAGTTGTGGATTCAGGACGTATTTGATATTGCCACCCGTTGGTTCAGTTTATATCTAATATTATACGTGTCTATAAATAGTGCGATCTCCCTTTTTGCTTTTCAGTGTGATTGTTCAGGTCGATCAGCGAAGATTTTGATTTTGCAAGCGTGGAAATCTATAATTCCCGCACATATCCCCCGTCAGGCTAGCCTGAGAAAACAGCTGACATTTTCCTAGCCTGCGTAGCATGGCGGTTTTGGTTGGGTGCGCTAGGGCCGAGAAATCGCGAGGAGACTGGGGCAGTTTTTATTTTTCTCTTACGTCTGACGCAGAACGAGCGCAGAAATTCCAAAGTGAAGACGTGTAAAGATAGGGCTTCTCATTGGTGGAAGAAAATGACCGGGCTTGAAATATCGGGCAGCCCTGGGGACAACGTTGTAAATAGTTGACTTGCCTTATTGCCATTTCGTATTCAAAAGGATCAATTTACAGTTTTTGTTGTATTTTGTTGTTTTGTCTCCTTTTTTGACGTTCTCGACGCCGTTACCAACGTTTCTAAAGCTCCTCAGTAGCACACTCGACTCTCCCCTCCCTCGAACCTTGCTAGTGGGCCATAATTTCATAGATATAATTATATAAAACATTTAGGAAGATTTCCAAACCGAGTTTGCGGCGAGTGCAGCAAGGACCGAAAAAAGCTCTTTGGGGGAACCACACATACAGTGTACTTATGTGACTGTCTGCTATTTAACTTGGCATCGATGTTTACTAATCGAACCAACAAATATATCAGTGAATATATGGAAATAAAAAAAGATTGGTACTACTCAGTTAAATACTTAGCCTCCCACGCAGGCGTTTTTAGGGGAGCTCGTATTTCTCCCCTAAAAACGTCTGTGTGGGAGGCTATTAAATACTACTGGATTCAAAGTACTTTTTAAAAAACGAGAAGGAGTGTATTATCAGGTTATTACCAGGCGAAGCCGAGAGTTTTTAAACCTGATAATACACGACTGCGAGTTTTTTCGAACATCGTCAAAATCTCTGATAAAGATCAACTCATTTTTGCACTAATATTTTGATTTGGGATTATTTTGGTCTAAAATATTGGACGTAAAGTTCAGCCGTGTCATAAAAATTAATTTCTTTTGTGTTTTCTATATGAATTATTTATGTTGAATTTCAACCGAAGAAACCTCAACATACTCTTACCTCTAATGGGTGGTCTTCATTGTGTTCAATTTCATTTGGCGATTTGGATGGTTTTGCTTTGGTTTTAATAGAGTGTACAACAGATCAGGCAAACGGCCAAGAAAACCCCTCGATTCCTGAGTTATATTCGCTGCATTCAGCCGAGGAAAGAGAACACGCAACCACGTCAAGAGAGGGCAAATGCGCTTAGACAAATAACAAAAAAACTGCCATGTAAGAGTGAAACAGATTAAATCAAAATCTCATGCGAGAAGACTAGCCTTGGAACAAATCAAAATACTTGCACGAGGTTTATATGTAATTATGAAAGTAGTCTCATATATAAACCCAAAAATTAGGAAGAAATAGGATTGGGAAAATGCTCGTGACCAAACCAAAAAACCCAGCCACCTTGAATCCGCCCCTTTCCAACGCTGCCCTCCTAAAGGTCAAATGGTAAGCCCCTGCATAAGCACTGCATCCCGGAAAATTTTCAACGGTTTTTTTTTTGTTTTTGTTTGTTGTTGTTGTTGTTGTTGTTTTTTTTCATTAAAATTAAGTCTCGAGAAATTGATCTTTTTGCTATTTCGCGAAATTACGTGTCCGCGAAAATTTAGTAAAAACTAAACTTATCCATACCCTTGGACAAATTAAAATAAAATAGAAACCCCTCGTACCCCCTTCCCTTCGAAATATTGAAGGAGTGAAGCTGCGCGGAGGCCAAATAACGCTATTCAGTGAAATCCTTGATCAACATAGGGGAAGGCGGGTTCTTATTTTCCGTCTCTTATGTCCAAGACCGTGCTTTCGAGTATTCTTGGCAGAACAATCAATAAAGTTTGATAAAAAGTCGTCGCAAGCTGTTTAAGCATACTAGTTTCTGTAGCTTCGTTTTGCATTATTATCCAGCCATTAGTCAAATACTCATAATGACAAATATTACCGCCTCTTTCACGTTTTCTTTGCCAGGGCGCGAAACTATTGTTGTATCGCTAGCAAGACAGGCTAAAGCTTTATCCTCTCTTGATTCTACCTAAAAAAAGAACAATGTGTATTTGTTTTTAAATGAGAGGAAGCTCAAAAGATCAACAAAGATTATTGACATTTCTGAAGTTTCTTTAATTATGATCTTTAATTAGCTGTAAGGCGATTATTAATTCTATTGTTTTGGTTTCACAATGGGAAACACAGAACACTCACCCTGCTCAAAGCAAGAAAACATCTGGTCAACAGATATTGCGGACGGAAGAGGGGAGACAATTTTCTGGGGTCGCCGTCTAGGGGGTAATAGTTGATGTACGTTTGGGCATAGGGGTGCCCCTGGCTTGAAACTATGTCCTACGGTAGTCCCACCCTTCCCTGGAAGAGGGATATCCAACTGTTTCTCCTCCATCGGAGGAAGGCTGCGTTTAAAACCCTGACAGTTGCTTAACCTGGCGTGCAAATGCTAGATAACAGAGTGGTGCAAAGGCTACCCCTCTCCTCCCTGTATTTTATCCTGCTCATTTTTCCTTGCGTCGTCCCCACTGAACAGACTCAGGGGCACCGATAGTTCAAAACCACTTAAACATGGCATTGTTGAACGTATTTTAGTATATTTGAACAGTGGATATAGGCATATTTTTATCCCCTAAAAATTTTTCATCTGTTCGGATTTCCTAGCTGAAAGTCTAGTGATGCGAAATTATAGGGATCAAAACTTACCTTTTCGAAAATTTCAGCCAGAAAAAAGGCTCCCGAAAACTCTAGGTGACCTTTTTGTGGTAAAAATCCGTTAAAAATGGGCAATTACACCATTTTTTAGATGGTCGAAAATCCTAGAAGAGGCAGGCAAGCAAGAAATTTTACAACAAATCTTCCGAAAATTCTAGTTCTCAAATCGTCTTCCGAACAGATATTTTCCAAAAATTGTCGCTGGGTGCCTCTGCAGACTGGTTTTAATACACGAAAAACTGACGCGTATCCACGGGGGGGAGTACACCTGGGAATTATTGGTGGGGGTGTGCTTTTCGGTACTCCAAATCCTGACCCTATTTCAGACCCAAAAATGTCACTTTTCACACCCGTTTTCAGCCCCTAAGAAATTATCTCTTCATTACTTATTTGGATCCAGACTTAGAGTCAGAACAGCAACAAAAAATATTTCTTAAAATCCATTTCGAATTCGCATATTTCTCTCTCTTTCTTACTCATTTGAAATGTCGCTCGAAAACCATACTGAGCAAGTCTAGTCTGCCGTTTATCTGTCGTTTATTTCAGGCATTTTAAAAGGTTTGTGTGCCGGGTAAAACGCACTTTGGACGTCACGCCTTGCTTGGCTCATATAGCGCTTGTTATGCAGGCTATCACAGACCTCTAACATCATCCAGTCTCAAGGTTAAAAGGTTATTTGATCTAATTGCAGGTCATGAAGGGTCTCAGGACAAAATCGAAGATGAAAATCATTTCTTACTAGATTGTAAGGTTTATTCTCAGATCAGAGACATATTTTTCTCCAAACNATTTCGAATTCGCATATTTCTCTCTCTTTCTTACTCATTTGAAATGTCGCTCGAAAACCATACTGAGCAAGTCTAGTCTGCCGTTTATCTGTCGTTTATTTCAGGCATTTTAAAAGGTTTGTGTGCCGGGTAAAACGCACTTTGGACGTCACGCCTTGCTTGGCTCATATAGCGCTTGTTATGCAGGCTATCACAGACCTCTAACATCATCCAGTCTCAAGGTTAAAAGGTTATTTGATCTAATTGCAGGTCATGAAGGGTCTCAGGACAAAATCGAAGATGAAAATCATTCTCACTAGATTGTAAGGTTTATTCTCAGATCAGAGACATATTTTTCTCCAAACTAGAAACTAAAATACCTGACTTCAAATCACTTTCACACGATTAATATCTCTTCTTATGAATTCTTCTGATCATTTAATCAACTGTCAATTAGTTTCATTTATCTCGAAATGCTTTGAATTAAGAACCAAATTAATATCAATGAATGAATGAGAACTGTAACGTTTTGTAATGTTTTGCACGTACTAATTAGTTGAATTAGTACTTAAATTTAGACTAATAGCTTTAGCTTTATGGTCATGCAAATAAAGTATTTGGTGCAGGGCCTCTTCCCTGCGAGCACTTTACGAGGTCATTCGTATGGCGTACGATCCCCGCCAAAATTCATTGTTTGAATTTTAAATTCATCATATAAATTTCTACTTGAATTTTCCTTTCCCCCTCGCGCGCCCAAATTCCCCCGTCCCAATTCCCCTTCCCCTTTTAACGCCTTAAAATCTCCAAAACAAATGACATGGATTACCAAATCCTTCTTTTTTGATGTTGGAAGTTCGTCTGCAAAATATGATAAACTAGTCAGATCCCCACTCTGATCAAGTTCACTGGGGTAGCTTGGATAGTCCCCCCCATCCCTCCCTCCATCCCCCCCTCCATCCCCCCCGCTTCCATCCTCTCCCTAGGGAGCTTTTCTCATCTAACGCCACATATCACCTGTTGGTCACATGTCAGACTCTTGACCAATCGCTGTTTTTCAGACGGCCCTAGTCCGTTCACAAGGTTAAAGTCGACCTCTTGATACAGTCATTTTATTGTAGCAGAGATACTGTAAGCCTCAACATGGTTAAGTTGGCCATTTTCTCCGTCTTTGCTCTTTGTGTTTTTAAATCGATCTCCTGTGAGCGTGTAGAATTCGGGGACTGTGGTAAGTCTGCTTTTGTTTTGCGTTCTGTGAAAAGCAAATTATTCCGAGCATATTCTATAAATTTGTAAACGTGAATTATTACCGTTCATGCACAGGCAAGTGTGTGGTTGTGAAACCGTTCCAAGTTATGCAACACGGGTTAATTTCTTGTCCGGCTACCGGCTTTTGCTTGCAATTTTGCACTACCCCACTTCTTCGCAGTGGCCCGGTGGGTACTCCTTCCTACGACAAAGAGAGCCCTTTGCATTCAGAACCCAAGACGGCAAAGGTAGTTGCCAATAAGACATAAACCTCACTTATTATACCATGAAATTTTCTTTACCTAGGAAGTCAAATGTCTACTTTGAAGGAAGTTGACATCACACCTTGCCCCCAAGCTACTGAGAAGAGGCCTTGCCAACTGAAGAGAGGGACGGAGGAGACCATTGAAGTAAAGTTCACACCGAGTAAGAATTGTTTATTCTTTTTTTCCCTTTTTTTAGAGGACCGTGTTTACCCAAAATGCTTTGCAAACCGGTGTGTTATAGCCTGCACGTAGCACGCACTTGGAGAAAGTACGGAGCGCGCGAGGGAAACACGTGAGGCGTGACTCTCTCGTGCGTCTTCTACCCACTCTTTCAAAGCAATAAAAACTATTTTTCTTCTAATGAGCCCCACAACCCTTCGCCTTCCTCGTTTTAAAATTGTATTAAAATTCCAATAATATTTCTGGGAAAGAGAGGATGTGATCCTTCGTTCTGGATCAAGGATAAAAGGTAAGTCAACTATGAATCCCCATCAGTCACCTCTTCTCATATTTGCTCTAGCCAGGAAAGCAATTTTGAAAAACATGATATCGAAAAGTCCCTCAAAGAGAATACAAATGAGGACCAGCTTTCTTAATTGGTAGTTTTAAGACAACACAAGAGTTGAAGTTGAAAAAAAGTCCGCACGTTGGGTTTTATTCAGTGTTATTATCATTTTTGTTTAATTTTTTGTTTTCAAGCACAAGCCTGGCTTGCGAACAGTAGACGTATTTCCGGTCGTCGCTTCGAGTCTCCGCGACGACGGGAAATACGTCTGATGTTCGCAGGCTAGCACAAGCCAGTTTCATAGTCGCGGACACGTTCAATTAAAAAGTTAACGCCAGCGGAGTATTATTAACTGTTTTCCTTTGATTCCAACGTAACTTTAGGATTTTTAAATAATACAAAAAATCGTGACAAGGCTGATCTGTGGAATTTGTGCTACAGTCTCATTCCAATTCGCGGTAAAACTGATCTAATTTTGTCCGTGAAAGTACAATGGGATTGCTCGCTCTGGGTTGTGGGCAGGGTACTTATCTGGGTGGGGGCTTAAGGTACGGTAAAACGGCCAATTAAAAAAGTGCAACTTGTTTTGCGACTCTGCTTCAAAACGAGTTGAATAGCTATGTTGCCCGTTTTACCACCCGCGAAATAAAACTATGCAACCTTAGCTGTTGCAAGACAGGTTCGAACGTGTAAACGCGCAATATCGCTATTCAATTCGTTTTGCAGCAATGTTGTAAAACAAGTTGCACGTTTCTTGCTGCCCGTTTTAATGTAGCTTTACATGAAGTGTGTTGTTTTGTTTCTTGCAGAGGAAAATATCACTGCAGCTACAACTAAAGTTTATGGTACAGTCGCGGGTATCAGGGTGCCTTTCTCGGTAGACAATCCTAACGCCTGTGAAGATCAGGGTATCACCTGTCCCATGATTGCCGGAAAAGACTACACATTCAAGACTGTGCTACCAATCAAGTCGATCTACCCCAGCGTACGTATTCTTGAAATCCTAGCTTCTAGTCAACAAACGACACTGGTTCCAAAGTCGTCCTCGGCGATTTCGGTACGCGCTCGATTCAACCTCGTCCCCAGGGCGCTTTTCTGGGGCGCCCTGGGGACGAGGTTGCGCCCAGGGCGCTTTTCTGGAGCGTCCTGGGGACGAGGTTGCGCTCGATTCCAAGCATCCTCTGCTGTTCAATCGGATAGCGAAGACGAAATGGCCTGGGGACAAGGCTGCAAATGTTTAGCTGAGCCTCATATATCAAAAACAAACTCTACAAAAGGGCCGATATGTACGACCTCATCAATCTTCCCCAATTTCATTGCGGCAACGCACCTTTGTGAGCAAAATGCTTTGCATTGTACCTTTCTGGGAGTGAAAAATTCTTTTCAATTTAAATGCAATGGGAATTCATTGCTCTAAAGCCTCCAGAACGAGACATGGCGGTGAAGTTAGATGAAGCTTATTAGCGGGTGTGACGTAAACATGCATTGTAGTAGCCCGAGTATCAGGCCTTCCTAGGGGGCTAGGGAAGAGGAGATTTTAGATGGGGGAGTGGGGTGGGAGAAGAGAAAGGAAGTTTCTCTCCTTCAGCCTCTTCGTTTTTCGCTTCCATCTTTCCCCTTTTCCCCCAGAAACGTCTGATACTCAGGCTTGCATCGTAGCTATGTGTTCCGCTTTATACGCCGGACGATTACTCGCCCTTATTAACCTTAATTTTCGTCGGGCAGTCGACCTTTTACGGGCGAGCGTCGCTCGTAGGGAGAAACGCGCGCGTGACCAAACCCGAAGAAGGTCGGCGCGCGGGGAGCTTTCTTAACGGCCCTCGCTCTATGGCCCCAGTAGCAGTCACGGGTCTATTAATATGTGACTTTATTTGTTCTGTTTAGGTCGACGTTATAGTCCAGTGGGAGATGCAAGACCAGGACAAAAATATGGTTTACTGTTGGATTGTGACGGCCCATGTGAGCGGCTAAGTCACGATGACTGACGTGATTATGAATGTTGAAAGTTATGATTGTATAACGCAGAGATAAATTTTTTCTTATCTCACTTCATTTGTTGAAAAAGGATATGTCGTCTTACAAAAATAAAGTCACTGAATTCAGTCTTCCTAGTATTTTTGTTTATTGGTTGTCTTGTTTAGTTCTTCACATTATAGTAGACTTGAAGACCCGTTCTTCACAAGCTGGAATACTTTCGCCCCTTAACTTGTATGGTAACCCAAGACAGTATTGCTAATGGGGTGAATCCGACCGACGGATTTTAAATCTTAAAACGGATTTCGCGTTCCTTTCCGCAAATCCAAATCCGGATTCTTCATCAGGTGAATCGGCCTTTTTGAAAAAGGATTCATTGGATTTGAATTCCAAAGAATCTGAATCCAGATTAATGGATTAGGGATCTACGTTGTTCCATTCACAGTGAATCCGAAATTAGTCAGATGATCCAGTGGTATTTCTACTTGAAGTATTGCGCCGTTGAATTTCCAAGTCGAATTGCTGCTATTTGCCCTTAAACACATCTGAAAACACTGGAAGATTGCTCGTGGTACAGTAAAATATCCAAATGCTAACCATTATATTTGTAAGTAAAAGCAGGGCTCCTGGTAAAAGAGACAAATGAACTGCTATCTTTCAACAACTAACTCGCTTGTAGACGTGATACGCACTAGATCGTGTTACATAGAAAAAGTCTGAGCTACGAAACTGGATAAAACTGAGCCGACAACCTTTAGATAATTGTCAACGCCCTTCTTTCTTGATCTCCATCGTCGCTATTCGTATAACTGATTGCCGACCACAAAATTCTGCACCGTAGAATCGCTTAATTTGTCAAACAGTGCAAAACGCGCCATTTCTTGAGAGGCTGTCATGCATATTGTACGCGTTTGCGAAAGGTTGCAAAGGTTAAAAATCCAATTTCGGATTTCGCGTTCCTTTCGACAGAGAAATCAGGCAAATCTAGGATCAAAAATCGGTTTTTGGATTCACCGAAATTAGCACAACCAAAAAAAAATTTTCTTGATTCCACGCTGTGGATTCCGAATAGGCTAGATTCCATCGTTAGCGGGATGCCGTGGGATTCTTTGATTCCAAAGTCCAGGATTCTGGATTCCACTAGTAAAATTTCCTCGATTCTGGATTCCAGAATCAAAGATTTCCTGTTCCGGAATACAGGTAGCTTACGTGGGCGAATTGTTTTTCGGAAGTCTCAAGTTCAGCTCCACAGCCAGGCTTGTAAACAGCCAACTCATCATCGTTTGCCTCCTGCCAGTTTTGGTTTTGATTCAGAGGCACTTTCCATAGCACATTTTTGAACATTAAAACTGTAAAACTAAGCATCGATAAAATTTTAGCAGATCTTGCGCGCGCGTTTGAAACAGCACTCTCGAATTGTCATAATCTGGATTAGGCAAGAATTTCCCCTCACCACATTGCATTGATCTGATTTATTCAATTTTATTTTTCTTACCTCTTTAGTCACAAGGCCATGATAGTGCTTTCCCCACCCCTCCCATTTTCGAACGAATGAAGCCGTGGGAACGATCACATTTTTGTTACCATTCCCCTCGCATCCGTCGAGGCTAACTCCATGTAAACAGGCCCTAAGTGGAGGTGCAGGATCATGTCGAAAGTTGTATTGTTTCTCTTCTGTTTTTTAATGAGTTACAAAATGAGTAACATGACAGCTGCTTTTCTGCAATCTCGTCCCTTAGTGCGACTCTAGCCTTTAGAAAAATGAAGAAAAGTGTAAACTTTTAGACAGAATAAAATGGTAAACCAAAACCCTCCATCCCGTCGAAATCAATTGCCGAAGAAGCCTCGCAAAAGCTAGTCTGCTACACAGCCGTTTTTAGTGTCGTCACGCAACGGTCTTCCCGTTGCGTTGCGTCCCGACACTAAAAATTGCTGTGTAGCATGTAGCAGACTACGCAAAGGCTTTCCCTTCCTTGATTTGGGGTGGGAAAGGGGGATTCAACTTTTGCGTCGATAGTTTACTTGTTCGATAGGTTCCCCTCCTTCCTTCTCCCCACTTTCCTATGCAACTCATCGACCATAGCTCTCGACCAATCAGCGCGCGAGAAATCCGGTTTTTTTTCTATCACGCAATGTATTATTTCCTTGACCATCACGCGATATACAAATCATGTGATGTCTGGTGATGTCTGCTGACTTTTCAGCAACTTGCAAACAGACTCAAGATGGCGAAGTTGAGTGTTGTTGCTGTCATTTCGCTGTACAGTATTGTCCTTGCATCTTGTGAACCTGTTAAATTTGGGGATTGTGGTAAGTGATCGGTTCGTTATAGTTATCCTGTGTTCGATTTTATGAAGAGCGAACTTTTTTATTTGCTACTAGTACTACCAATAACAAAAATTGTGCTAAATGGCTTAATTCAGGTCGGATTCGACTGGAGTTTCGCTTTTCTTGCTATTTTTGTTTTAGTATTTCAAAAAGAAACCTGACCAAAGGCTATTTAATGGAAAAAACACTATTGATACTAGTAACTTAGAATACTTATTTCGGACTGGAAGTTGAACAATGCCTCCCTAAGGTGCGTTCGATTGGCCGTATTTCGGAATCTCGACCAGCTGTGTTGCGGGCATTCTCCCAGATAGTATGGAGCGGCGCGAAGATAAGGGCCATTTTTACAGTAAAACCCAGCGGGGGTGGAGGTATTCCGGATTTCAAGTGACCTAGGCGCGGATCTAGCATAAATAATGACCGATTTCCTAAACGAGCGCCCAAGGTGCAAGCTCCTAGGAGGTCCGGGGCATGCTCCCCCAGGAAAGTTTACGTCTCTTTTCCTTAGTTTCCGAGTCATTCAGACGGGATATTGGCCAGATTTCAAATGTACACATATTTTGGTTTGAAACACAAACGTTTCTCAAATAGAATACAGTACCTTATTATGGGATAGTAAAATTATAAGAATTCAAAACTGAAGCTGATGAATTTTTTTTAATTACTTCAAAAATAAACCAGCATAAGCAGACACTATACATATGTACAAAAAACATGACAAGTAAGGGTTTAAAACAGTGACACGAATGTAAATAGATGACAGACTTGGAATGATATATGTAACTAATGATCACACGCTTGAATATACTAAAAGACGGGGCATTTTTGATGTCGTTCGGTAATGAATTCCATATTCTAGGACCTTGAAACAGGATTGAAAAAAACATAGGTTTGGTTAGAATGTCATACATACATGTATACAGCATCTGTTATGGGCAATTTTTGTTCAGAAAACCACTTGTCAAAAATACTTTTTTCAAATCCTTTCCCAAAAAAATGCTCAGATTGTGAATCTCAAAAATCTACCCATCACAGTGTGGATTTTAAAGATTCATGATCCGTTTTTGGATTTGCCCTGCGAAAAAAATGCAAAATCCGTTTTTGGATTTGGAAATCTGGATTTGGATTATCCCCAAAAAAACGCACCCTCTAAGATCTTGATCTGGGAGGGTTTTCATCTCACAACGTTCTGTTTACACAAATGATACTGCTGACTGATTTAGGGTCTGCTCAAATTGCATAAAGCTAAAGAAGACTACGAGAAAGACTCACATTGTTATAAATTGTGTAAAGCTAAAGTTTAAAACTGATGAGAAGGATGTACATTGTTTGGTTAAGTGCCCGATTTTATAGGAAAACAAATGACATTACACAGTTGCTGTACATTTAACATCACCCGCTGTAGATGCATTAAATAACAAAAAGCAAAAAAAGTTAGTAGTTTTAGGTTGCATTATTTTACTTTACCGGTGGCACTTGGCAAAAAGTTGCTGTCACTTTGCAAAAATGGCTGTTATAAGGAGCAACGTTTGAGCAACCTTTTAGAAAATTCCAGCAACTTCGAGCAACTTTTAAGAAAATTTGGAGCAACTTGTGGCTGAGGCTAACCCCCTTGGGTAGTAATAATATGTAGAATAATAGTCTGGTTTTCACTCAGATTTCCTCTTTTGACAACCACGCATGAAGTGGAACTTTGAACTGCTTCGGAGTTTAAATGTGGCTTCTTGGAAAAAAAGTTAATTCAATTCCCTAGTTTGGGGCAACTTTACATCCAAGTTTCTTATCTTCAACACCAGCACTGGCTCGTCAGCGTAAAGAATATTATATTGTTAATGATTTGCTGTGTTGGCAGGTTCAAAAGAATCAAAAGTTGAGGAAGTTGATATCACACCATGCCCTGCACAGCCCTGTCAACTGAAGAGAGGGACCAACGTGACGGCTGAAGTAAAGTTCATTACTTCTAGTAAGTTAACTTTTATAATAGTCCCCCATAAGACTGTTCTTTGTGTTGCCATGGCACATACTGTTCCCGGCTTCAGAGATGCTGATCCTGAGAGGTCCAAAATCTGAAAACTCTCTCTTTCGTATCACCCACTTAATACAAGAGCTCATTCTCGTAAGCAACCAGCTCTTGTTATGACCACTTTTTCAAATTTCCGTGGTGGTCGCTTACAAGAGCTTTGACTGTAAATGGGAATGGGTCAATTTGTGATTATCAGTGGGGTTGGTGGGTGGCCGATCGATGTTGATGGGGGTACTGCCAAAAATACAGTCCCTAGATTTTTATTCTTGATCTCCGATGGTTGGCATCTCTGTTATACATGTATGGCTAATATTAATACCCACCCTGTTTACTAAGGCCGAATTCGTTTGTCCTGTTTGTTACCACATTACAACAGTTCCACCAATCTATTATTTTTCATTAATTGCAGCAGAGACCATTTCAAAAGCCACAACTGTTATTTATGGTATTATTGGTGGAGTAAAAATTCCCTTTGCGGGCGTCAGCAAAGATGCTTGCCAGGATCAAGGCCTGACCTGCCCATTAAAACCTGAAACAGAAAACACATTTAAAACAGCGCTACCAGTCAAGCCTCTTTATCCACCAGTAAGTGCATTGTCATGATCATTGCAAAGTTCAGACTTTACTTAAGAATTAGATTGCTTGTGTGCTAATGAGGACATTCATGACCAAGGAATAAGATATTAATGAAGAAAGTCATCTTTAATATTCCGACTTGTGATCTGATGCCTTAATTATTTGATTTTACCTGTGTCTTATGTCAATAATGATCCTAGCAAGGATATGAACAAATTGAGCAGATTAGGGGACACTTTTCTGTTAAAGGTTACTTCTTTAAACTTGAGAGTTCGCTCAGAGAGGTGGAAAATTAAACACCTGCATTCTTTACTGTTTAGAGAAATATATAGCTAATAGGCTGGAGATTGTTTTCATGCAAATCAAAGTACAAGCATGCAACTTAAAGATGGTGCTTGACATCACAAACCATGCCTTTACCCTCAAAATTGGAAAAATATTCTTTCGTACCTACAACATTTAATTATTAGTGCCCAAATTATGTTATCTTTTACAAACGGTAAGTCTACAAATTTTCCTTACCCACCTACAGGATGCAAAGAAAGCCAGTTTTACAGCTTGCTATTCAGGCAAACTGTAGCTAGCATTTACTAGCCCAAGAGTCATTTTAAGTAGCCCGCAAAAAAAATTGATGAGCAGGATTGATTTAAAACCCTTAGTTCTTCTGTAATATTATTGTAATTCCCCAAAAAACTTAACTTGCCAGTTGGGCTCAGTCAGTAGAGGGCTTGACTGTAGAGGACAAGGTAGCAGGTTCAAATCCTGAGGCCACAACAATACTCAGGGTCTTAAAGATAAAATAAGGTAATCAATAACAGTTTCACCACATTTTCAAGTTGCAATTGCTTGCAACAACTGTCATTTTGGAAGGGATGAGCAGAAAATGGAAAATGGAAAAATAATAGATTAACAATATAAAATAACATAAGATGTAAACCATTGTTTGTATCAAATTCTTTTCATTTGCTTTTTCTGTCAGGTTGAAGTTGTTGTACAATGGGAGTTGCATGATCAAGATGATAACATGGTTTATTGCTTTAAGTTGACGGTGCAGATTGTTTAAACCAATGTGTTTTAACTTCTTTTTCTTCAGGCCCATGTCAAATATCAAACTTCACAAGCTGATCCTACTGCTAATGAGCAAAATCAATTTTTCTTGCTTATTAGAATAATTTTTGTTACATGTAGGTTCGACTCGTGTGAAGTAATTAACATTTGACCCAGGGCCTAACCTGTGAAATGTCAGAACAAGCCTTACAGGTGCTTAAAACATCTAGAAAATTGACTCAATGTTGCTTCTATTAGCTAAGTATCATTTATTAAGTTAAATCTAGAATTTAATTTAATGTTAAGTCTCCATTTCTAGTGGCAAAGTAAGTGTCAAAAAAAGAAACAAAAAGTGCAGAAAAAGAGGTGAATGAGGGAGGAATGGAAGACTCTCCCCTACTTTCCCCCTTTCATCACACTCGTATATCCTCTTATGTGCCACTTGCAAACTCTCACAATATTGCCCGAATGGAGAGTTTGCTTGCAGGTTAGGAAAGATGATGCACTTTAAGGTGACAGGTATTGTTCAAAGTCCATTGTAAGCACTACTTGTATGCAAATAATAAAATTATGCTGTTGTTTGTTGGCTAGCCCAAAATAAACTGACACTGTCCATGTGAGTGTGACAAGTGATATGGTTTTTTTGACAGACTGCTTTAACTAGGTACGCCCGCTTAATACAGACACCTCATGGTTACAGACAATTTTATTTGTCCCTGAGAAAAGCCCATACATTTTCTCTTAACCCTTTAATCCCCGTTATCCACTTATAAATTCTCCAAACTGATCTCCATACACTTCCTTAAAGAATTAGTTGAGAGAATTTGATAACAGATCAAAGCATTTTCTCTTTAGTGAACATTTTATTAACTCTCATAACCATTTCTCTTGGCAACATATGGACATTGTTATAAGGATACTTGTTGTTATAAGGGACTCAAAGGGTAAGGTCCCCATCACCTGTGACCGGTTTGACCTTTGGGNCAAAAAAAGAAACAAAAAGTGCAGAAAAAGAGGTGAATGAGGGAGGAATGGAAGACTCTCCCCTACTTTCCCCCTTTCATCACACTCGTATATCCTCTTATGTGCCACTTGCAAACTCTCACAATATTGCCCGAATGGAGAGTTTGCTTGCAGGTTAGGAAAGATGATGCACTTTAAGGTGACAGGTAATGTTCAAAGTCCATTGTAAGCACTACTTGTATGCAAATAATAAAATTATGCTGTTGTTTGTTGGCTAGCCCAAAATAAACTGACACTGTCCATGTGAGTGTGACAAGTGATATGGTTTTTTTGACAGACTGCTTTAACTAGGTACGCCCGCTTAATACAGACACCTCATGGTTACAGACAATTTTATTTGTCCCTGAGAAAAGCCCATACATTTTCTCTTAACCCTTTAATCCCCGTTATCCACTTATAAATTCTCCAAACTGATCTCCATACACTTCCTTAAAGAATTAGTTGAGAGAATTTGATAACAGATCAAAGCATTTTCTCTTTAGTGAACATTTTATTAACTCTCATAACCATTTCTCTTGGCAACATATGGACATTGTTATAAGGATACTTGTTGTTATAAGGGACTCAAAGGGTAAGGTCCCCATCACCTGTGACCGGTTTGACCTTTGGGACGGGTGTTAGATGGGAGTCCTTCCACCGTTCTGGAAACACGCCAGATGACACTGAGCAATTGAAGATCGCAGTTACCGGTTCGGCAAGCTCTGGTGCAAATTGTTTGAGGAGGCGCGACCATCCGGCCCTGAAGCCTTGTAGGCACTACGACCAAGTAGCTTACGACATACAGCTGAGGTGGTAATAGTTGGAGGTCGATCCGGCGATGGTTAGTATGCAGGAAGGGCGGCGGTATCGAGTGGTTGCATGTCAGATGTAACGGATATAAAATAACTGTTCAGACGAGTGGCAAGGGTTTTACCCGAGATAATGTTGACATTTCAAAAGGTTGAGTTTGATCGTCCGGGTGAACGTACTCCTGAATAGGACTGTTGTTGTTGACAGTGACTGACGTTTCGACAACCTGTGCGGTAGTCATCTTCAGAGTTAAAGTGAGTTGTATCACGTCAGTTTATGGTATTATACTCTGGTTATTGATCTGATTGGTCAATTATGTCGCGATGTTATTGGTCGTCTGTCAGTTAAGCCGTGAGGTTATTGGCTATGAAGACTCGTAATCAGTGATTGGTGTTTGTCACAGTTAAACAGTTCGTCAGGTTACCATGTTCGTCAGGATAGCTTAGGGACTTGTCAGAAATTAACAGGGGGGGAGGGGGGGTGGGAATTTTAAATTTGGGTTCGGAAATTAGGTGACCCACCCCTGCAATGGGAGTGAAATTTGCTAACCCTCCCCTTGAGCTTGGTATAAAATATCATGACCCTCCCCACCTTGCAGAATTGAAAGAAAAATGTTCCAGGCTCTTTAAGGTGCAGTATTCCAAGCCAACAAGAAAAAAGAGGAAAGAAAAACAAAATAAAAGGAAAGCAAAAGAAGCTAGGGCAAAAAGAATGGAAGCTAACTGCAAAAGACTTATTGAAACCATTGCACCTCAGCAAGAATCGCATGATGTTACAGAGCCTATTGCCCATAATTTCTTCATTATCAAGGAATAAGTGGGCTCCTCAAAACGCAAAGGCCATATATCCAATATGCCTTTGAGAAGGGTTGTTCACCAATGAATCACAGGACATTATCAACCAATATCTACGCTTCAACTTAAGTGAAAATCATGATGATGATGAAAGTGATTGTATCAATACGAAGCTAATAAAATAAAATAAATAAAATAAAATGCTGATGACATAAATGATGATGATCAAGATGCTCACAGCAGCATTGATGGTGATGCTGAAGACAGGGATGAAAAGGATAGCCAAAACTATAATAACATTAACAACAACATTATTCATAATTGCAATAAGACTATAGCATTGTTATAAATGAAAAGTAGATGTTTGTTGAATTCTTGCAATAGTACTTCACAGTTTATATCCATAATGTTCCGTTGCT